ATGAACATGTTATTTGCTCAGGTTTATGGTTACTGAAATTGAACTTGGAAAATGAGTGTGTGAAAGTTTGTATGATTCAATGGGCAAAGAACTTTGGGTATAATATAATGCTTGAACAATCTGAAAACGTGGACGAAGGGTTTAAGATTTACAGTGAATTATAACAAAAGATTTTTTTAATATAAAATGAAATAGTGGTATTTAATACAGCCATACAGGGGCAACTTGTAAGCTGTCCTGAGTCCCAAGCTTGGTTGAGCCTTGCTGGATGATGATGTGATGAAAGGGCTTTGGGCAATTCCTATTTTAACTCTACCTGGAGTAGATCTTTGTTATGTAAAATAGACTGGCCTAGGCCAGAGTAATGGCCCATTAGCAAAGCGGGGGGGGGCTGAGTTTCTGCCTCTTTGGTGAGTTTCTGCTTCTGACTTTCTACTCTTTTTAGGGGAAATATTCTGCCTTTTTAATATTTCCTAGGATATTTCATTATTCTAGGAGTGGGGTGGGTGCTAACTTCCTACAGGATGCAGAGCAACAACTACTAAGCTGCACCCAGAAGGATCTAAGGAGAGCTTCCTCTTCACCAAAGGACGGAAGGCACACTTATAAAAAGGAGATGTTGTGATTAAAGAAGCAAATAATACAGGCTAGAAAAAGAGATAAAATAGTAGGATTGAAGAAAGAGATCAGAAGGGAATCAGACAACCAATCGGAATACAAGCTCGAATTCCAATCCCAACAGAGGGTATAAAACCCAGGTCTCTCAGCAGCTCAGCTTTTCTCTCTTCACCCAAGGCATACAATCTGCCCACCATTAAACCCTCTTTCCAAGCAGCCTCCATATTTCCAGTGTCTTTCTTCCCCACTTGGAATTGAACCCAGAAGGATATTTCTTCCAGCAATCCTTTATTTAAAATCTTTGAGTTTCACTCTCACACCTGGCTCTTCTTTAATCTCCTAAAAGCCTCTTAGGTCCATCTCAGTCTGGATTTTGGCCAGTCCAGTCCACCGAGAAGGGACTTTCTCAATGCTTTCCTTGTGCTGGCACTTCTCCGTTGGATAATCCAGATTACTGTCCTTGCCATAACAAAAAAAAACCCTAAAACAAAACAGTATCATTGGCTGGGCCCTTATTTGGATAAAACCTTTTTCGTCTTCTTGTTCTTTTTCCAATAAATTTCCCCTTACAGCAGGTATCCCTCAGGCATCAATCCCAGATGCTCCTTTCTGTCCATCAGGTGCCTTCATTATGGATACAGGATCAATACCATTCTTGTGCTGATAGTACTAATCCCATAACAGGTGTTCAACTGTAATCCAGTGCCTTATTGGCGTTCCTGGATGTCCACTGCCTTAGGCTGAACATGGGAGAAGCCAGGGAGATCCTGCTCCAACCGGATCTAATTTCCCACCTCTCCTTTCACCTCTAGAGTTGCTTACAGCCTTGGGAATTCAACTGACAATCAGATGACTTTGCACCCATTTGTTGTTCTTATCACACTGTGTGTAATTTGATTTGGTTTTTACGGTGGAGCTGTTATCCCACCTACTCTCATTAGTCTTGTAGTTCCTAGGTTACTATCTGTTTTAACATGCTCAGTTGTACTACAAAGTCTTGTTTATATCGATATGCAGCATCTAGATACTAGAAGAATGTACTGGGAAGACTGTACATAAATGTACTACATTTATGGCCTAGTCTTTCACATGTAAAATGCCTTATCTCTTAAATGCCCTGTTAAAATGCAGACTTGCAACCTGAAGTCCAACCAATGTTATTTTATCTTCCCGTGAGCCTCTACTGCGGTAAATCCAATCCAAAGCAAATTCACTTAAATTGTCGCTGCACAGATCAGACAAACATGATCAGTTGGAAGTGACCTACAAGATTATCAGATTCAATTCCCTGCAGGAATCACTATCCCATCCCTGATAGAAGACTATCCAGTCTCTTGGCAGACCTTCCTGTCCAGAAGTTATTTCTAATCTGAATCTAAATCCTTTTAAGTCTCATCCCTATTGTCAGCTACACTAAACAGACAGAGATATCAACTCTACAGAAAGGCCAAAAGTATTTGACTGAGATGGCCCACAGTAATAGAATCTGGTGACTCTGATTGGGTTGCACTTTCTCCTTCAGTTAATTAGGGCGGGGTCTGCATGAGTCACTTCCAAAGTTATCTCATTGTTCTGGACTTTAAAATGCTTGGCCCTCTTTTGCCAAGGTAATGGGTTTTTTTGCATATCTGTCCAAGTCACCATGTTTGTTCTCGATCATCTAACTCATGTTGGAATGCTGATACTCTTAGCAACGGGTAACTTAAGTGGACAAAAGTGATTTATATTGGCTTTTTAAACTGTCATTGCTGAAGTTTATATCAGCAATACCTGGGAGGGGGGAGGGGGGTTCAACAGAGGTTTTCGGATGACTCTCCTAGGCAGGGGGCGGAACAGGTTACTACTGGTCTTAATCACATTCTTGCCACACCAACATTGCCTGCTAAGAGTTCTGTCTTTTTTGCAACATGCAGCCAAGTCCTTCCCCAAGCAACCTTCCTTCCTTCTTTCCTTCCTGGACGGCTGGCAAACTGGAAGGCAAACTGACAGGCCCAGGATGTTAGAAACAGGTTTTATTTGCACGCGTTGCTTCTTAAAGCAGCATTAAGTAGCGCAAACCCATTAAAGAAAACCATAGCTGCCCACTGTTAGGACCTGGGATTCTGCTAAAACCAGCAGCCTTATGTGAAGAACGTCTAACCAGCTCCCTGCAGGGCTAGGCCAACAATTCCCGCCTCTCTCCCCCACGGAGCCCGGCCTCCACTATGTGACCCACCTGCCCAGTGGGATCCTAGGAGAAAGACAAACAGCTGACAGGGAGTGGGAGTGTGGCTCTGTTGGCTGTGGAAGAAACTGGGGAAGGGCAAAGTCTGGCTGGGCAGAGCAGGGAAGAGGTAGAACAAGGGAGAGGGAATTCAGAGGAAGACCCAGGCCCACCCCCTCTTCATCCTAAAGCACACAGGGAGGAATGGAGAAGAGAGCAACATAGGCTGGGTGGCTTACGGGGGAGGAAAGGGCCCTGATTCCCTTCATTAGGCACACCTGGGAAGGAAAGTTTAAAAGAGGTGCATGTTGAGTATTGTCTTTGCTTATCTGAGTTCCTGGCATCCTCCCACCCATGGTGGGGAGGGGTGGGGAGAGCCCAGCCCAGCCCAGCCCTATCCTTCCCCCAGTAAAGGTGGGGAATTGGGGGGGGGGGGAGTCCGGTTTTCGCCACCCCCAGGGCAGCTGTGCCACCGGTGGGCTTCAACCCCACAGAACTCCCGAGCCAGCACAGCTCAGTCCTCAGGCGGTAAAGTCGCCCACCCAGCTCGTCCCCTGGGCCCGGGGCAAGGAAGCCGGATCGCCCCCTCCCCGTTTCACCCGCCGGGCCCTCAAAGCTCCCCCCCGCCCCCCACAGTGAAAGTGTCCCATCCACGCCAGCTGCTCGCAAGCGGGGAACCGGCGCCTCCTCGGGCGCTTCGCCCGCCGCGGGGTCGCCTCCCCAACGGGCCTCTTGGGGGCTCCCGCTGCCCCATCGCCCCGTCGGAGGCGCCGCAGGGAGGCCTGCTCGGCTCCGGGCTGGCAGGGAGGCGGCGGAGTTCGGGGCTGCGGCCAAGCGCCTTCCTGCAAGGGGAGAGTCCCGGGAGCCGGCCCGGTCCCGGCGCTTCGTCCTTCCCTTGAAGCGCCCGCCAGGCTTGAGGAAGCGCCGCTCCGGACTCGGGCCGGCAGCGGGGAAAAGGGCCCCGCGGGGCTCCGTTGCCTGCCGGTCCCCGGCCGAGACGCGCAGCTCCTGCCCGCCTCCCCGGCGCCGCTGCCGGGCTCGAAGCTCTGGCCCGCTCCGTGCTCGGGAAGCCAAACGTTACTGGTTGCAACGGGGGGGCCGGTTGCTCTTTCTCCCGCCGACCGGGCTCCTCTCTCGGCTGGGCGGGCAAGGGACGGGGGCCGCCCCGCCTCCCTCCAAAGGCGACCCCGAGCGGGGGAGCTTCGGGACCCCCATTTTATCTCCCCCGAGCTTTGCCGTCTTGCTTCACGAGAGGAGGGCTCTGGCGCGGGCCCGGCTTCCCTTCTCTGGCTCAGGTGACGAGTTTGCCCTTCCCGACGCGGCTCCCACGGAAGAAGAAAAGCCCTCTTAGTGTACACACACACAACACAGACACACACACCCCTAGCTCTCCCTCTCTCTGGTGGCTGGAAGCACCAGCAAGTACCCCAAAGGCACCACTGAAGCCAGGGGGGTTTGCGGGGGAGGCAGGCCGCACTCCCAGCGCCCCTTCACTTGGACCGATGCCCAGAGAGATTGGCACCCTACAAACTTCCTAAATAAGTAGGCGGCCTCCTTGGCCAAATTCCCAGACTCTGGGCAGGCTCCCAGCTCCTTTGCCTCCACCTCTGGCCTTGCGCTCTGCCTTCTCCCTTTCGTTTCATTCACCGTTGCCTGGCAAGGGGGACACCAGGTGCTCCTTCGCGCGAATCCTCGGCCCTCTCGGGAAATGGGCTCGGTCTGGACGAGAAAAGCCGCGCTTGCTCCCTTCTTGGACCAGAAGGAATGTGGAGGCAGCTAGCAAGGGCCTTCCTTCCCCACGTGGGCCCCGGTTTGTTTATCATGCATTTCTTTTATTGATAGTCCGCCTTCATTAAACTTTTAGAAACAGCTCATGGTGGAGAATATTCCTCTTTATTTTCTCCACAACAACCCTGTGAGGTGGGCTGGGCTGAGAGTCACTGGCCGAAGGTCACCCGGCCGGCTTTGAGGCCTGAAGCTGGACTATGATTAGCCCAAAGTCCCCTAGCTGGTTTCCTTGCCTGAGGCAGGACTTGAACTCACAGCTCCTGGTGACCGGCCTGGTGCTTTAACTACCAGACCAAACACGCCAGGGATGCTTCCTTCGCCCCCACCCCCCCCCGCCTCCTTCACCGGGCAAGGGGTGATCCCGTCGTCCTTCCTTGATCCTTTCCAGTCGAAGACTCCGCCTCGCTCTGCATTTCTGGCTTGTTCGCACCCAGCAACTCTAAAATCTCCTTTTCCACCAGGATCTTTTCGGCCATTTTTGCTCTTTTCCTAATTACCCACCTTTGAAACGGGCTGCAGGCTTATCAAATTCAAGGAATGGGAGGGAAAGGATGTCCTTTCCTATTGATTAAATTGTAAATTCTATATTTATACTGTATATATATTTACATATTTATATCTATGTAGCATCTGCCACCCAGGAGCAGGCCGGAAGCCTCCCAGTACAAACGTCTGTCCGCTATTTCTTGGTTCCTCAAATCTTCTTTCCTCTCAGCCTGACCCTTGCAGGCCCTGGCGGCTCGCTCAGATGCCAAGCCTGCCACGGGGCTTTGGCTGCTCCCGGCTGAATTTGGCTTTGCCCGGCCTGCAGAAGCCGGTTCTCAGGGCGCGCTGGCGTGCATCTTCTCCAGGCAGCCAGTCCAGAAGGAGGCGAGCCGACCGTCCTTGTTGCAGCAGAAGTCCGTGAAGTCTTTCAGCAGCCGGTCGGCAAACTTCTCGTCGCCCGTGGCACTGGATCGCCAGGTCTTGGTCAGCATGGTGTTGTAGGCCCAGTTGTAGCCGATGCGCTCCTCGCAGAAGACATTCTGGTTGGCGGAGCTAGTGGAGTTGCGTCGGCGGCGCTGCTGGCCGGAGAACTTCCGCTTGGAGTACGGCAGCTGGAGGAAGACCGTGCCTGAGTGGGGAGAGGAAGGCTTTCAGGGGACAGGAGCTTCCTGCGTGGGACGTGTCTGCTGGGCTGACCTCAACCGGAGGGGCCGGGGGGGGGGGGCTTCTTCTAGGACAGGGGTGGGGAACCTCGGGCTGTTTATGTGGACTTCCGACTCCCAGAATCCCTGACCCAGCCTGAAGTCGTAAAAGGTTCCCCACCCCTGTCCTCGGAGGTGGGCTGCTACTGTGAAACTGGACTTGACAAGCGTTCTCTGGTTTCACACACAGCTGTGTTGCTGGGACCCAAGAGCTGAGCAAAGCGGGGTCCTGAAGGGGAATGATGCTGTGGGTCCCATCCCGGACGGAGATACCCCTGGTGGGACCCAGAAGGAGGGCCTTCACCGTGGTGGCTGCTAGGAATGAGAGTCACCTAACAGTTGGGTTGGAAATAAACCAGGATAGTAATTAAATACTGTATCTTTAAGAGAACGCTATAAGTGTGATTAGCTGAGGTTCCTCCAACGGCCATAAGATGGAGCCAGAAACCTGGTTTCTTTCTTCTTGCGTTTCCTGTTTTGCCCTATTTGCCTGACCGTCGTTCTGCTCGGATTGCTGTGAGTTTTTGCAACCGTTAGCAAACTCCGTTTACTGAACTCTGTTTATGATACTTGACTTCATTTTTGGATTATCCCTGGACTGATACTAACTGCTTTGACCGTGTATGATTTGGATTGTTTGTTGGACTTTGTTTACCCGTTTACTGGAAATAAAACCTACATTTTACTATTCAGTGCCTCTGTATGCTGGTTGTGTGTTATTCAACATCACTCTCACTACGTTTCCCTGAGTGCACTCATTCTAACGGGGAGTACCTCAACAGTGGCCCCCTCTCTCTGGAACGTCATCCACCCGGAGATTAGAAGGGTTCCCCGCTCTTAACGTTCTCCTGGAAATCCCCGGTTCTGCCAGTGGGCCTGGGAAACCCAGAGAGGTGCTGTCATCGGGGCGGGGAGTGATTTTAGTATATTAATTTATTATATGACTTTTATTAGTTTTTATTGTTTTTATATGAGGTTTTTATATTCTGTAAGCAGCCTTGACAATATAAATTCCATAAACAAACAAACAAACCAACTGGCAGGGTGGGAGGGGGCAAGCAGCTGGCCGGCCTTCGGACTAGCAGTGGCCATCAACCCGCCAGAGGCTGGGCCGGGGCCATCAGGGCACCGAAAGCAGAAGGAGGAAGCCATGGCAAGCAGCTCTCTTCCTCCGGTGCCCAGGAGCAGCAGGAGGAGGAGGAGGGCAGAGGTACGTGGGCACCCAGGAGGGAGGCTCTTCTTCCTGCTTCCTTGCTGTCTGGTGGGGTCCCGGAACTGCCAGAGACCAGGACTGCAGCCCCCCCACCCCCATCCCCCTTTGGATGGGTCGCCCACTTGCCCAGAGGCCGGTGCGGGGCCTGCCACCTCCACTCCCGAAGGGAAACAGAGCTCACCTGTAACGTGGATATACTGGGGCTTGTTCTCTGCAGGGAAGTTGAAGGCAGAGGCTGAGTATTTATCCTGTACGAATCCGAACCTGGTGGGAAGAAAGCACAGCTCTTGTTGAGCAGGCACGGAGAGGCACGCCACGTCCCACAGGAGCCTGGCCTGCTTCATGGGCCCTCCGAAATGTGGCCCTTCTTTGGATTAGGTAAAGCAAGAGCTCAGCCTCGCAGAGGAGGCGCTGCACGCTTCCTAGCTTCCTTCCGGCACCCACCGCACCCCCACCTCCTCGCCAGCAGCACCCACCCCTCTCACCTGTGTGCGATGGCCTCCTGCAGAAGGTGCATCCGGTCCCAATAGGTCTCTGGCTCAAAGCCTGCAAAGAGAAGCGGGAGGGAGGTTCTGGAGACCTTGGCACCCGGGAAATATGCTCTTGTGTCGCCTGGTTTGGTCCCAAGACGGCCCTGACCTTCTCTCCCCAGATCTCCAGGGGATTCGGCCTTTCCCATCCCAGTGTAGTTTGGAGGGTCAAGCAACGCTTAGTAGACAAGGCCCTTCCCTGCCTGGACTCTGCTCTGGAACCGCCGGCTCTGGACTAGCGGAGGAGTGGCGGGGCCTCGTGGCTCTCTTCCCTCTCCTTCTCTGGACCCCGCCTCTCTTTGCCAGACCTCCTCCTCCTCCTAAGATGACCCATCCAAGTGTTTTTGAGGGGTTCAGGTAGAGAAGGAGCTCACCTTCCCAATTACAAAGGCGGGAATTGCTGACTGGCCAGGGGTCTGATGGGGCATTCCTCCTCGGGGGAGGTTAGTGGACTAGGGCGAAGACCCCACCTGTGTTCCTGTGGCATTCTTGTTTTAACTTAATTGAACCTTTCATGTTTTTACCTCTGCTTTTGTGATATCGTAACGGTAACTTGGTAGTGAGACAGGCAGCATATCAGTTGAATAACGAACAGAGTGGCCACCGGGATAAGAGAAGAAGAGGCCCTTGTGTCGGGTCCCTGTGGGAAGGCTGCCACTTTTGGAAGGCATCAGGCATAGTTTACATGCTTTCGCTTTCGCTGTGACTGCCTGGGAGCTGGAGGGGTGGGCGGGAGGTTCACACTATCTCCATCAACTCCTCTCGACCGGTTCCCCTAGAGCAGGGGTGTCCAACCTTGGCAACTTTAAGACTTGTGGACTTCAACTCCCAGAATTCCTCAGCCAGCTTTGCTTGGCTTGGCAACTTTAAGACTTGTGGACTTCAACTCCCAGCTTTGCTGGCTGAGGAATTCTGGGAGTTGAAGTCCACAAGTCTTAAAGTTGCCAAGGTTGGACACCCCTGCCCTAGAGTGTTCAAGGCCGCATTGCCCCGAGGATGGTATCTTTCCACCACACCTCCGCGGCAAAGTCAAAACACCTTTGCAGCAGGTGATTGGTTAGAGAGAGGGCGCTGGGGTGGAAGGGGGACAATTAGCTCTACGCTTGGGGCCTGGATTTCAGACTCCGCCTGACTTTCCTGCAAACCCCTCCCCCGCTCTCTCCCAGTCAAAGTTTCTTTTTGGAGCGTGCCTGGTTTTAAGAGTTTTGCTTCCTTGGGTAAGGCGTTGGGGCAGATCCTCGCCCCTGGCATGACCTGCAAAGCAACCCATCGTCCCCTCCGTCCCTCCTCACCATCAAAGAGGTGCTCGTTGCTCTCTTTCAGCAGACAGCTGGTGCTGAGCGGGATGAAAAGCTGGGCTCGAAGGGGGTCTCCGTACAAGTAACTGGGCGGCGCAAATGGCCCCTCCAGGACGGGGACCAGCAGGAACCCACAGGAAGTGGCTTTGCGATGCCAACCTTGGACCTGGGGAAACAGCAGAGGGGGGCGGGAGCCTTGAGTGGGGCCGGGTTCAACCGAGGGCCAGGCACGGCCTTGGAGACCAGCAGGCCTGGTCTGACGCCCCGGGGGGCCCGTCTGCCGGAGCTCACCATCTCAAAGAGAACAGCCGCCGTCACCGCCATCCAGTGCAGCTTGACCTCGAAGGCAGCATTGAGGGAGAAGTTGCCATGGTAGTAACAGCTGCACCACTCCAGCCGGTCCGTGCGGTTGTTTATGTCCACATCCAGGGTCACCGTCCGCTGTTCTGGCACTGTGGCAGCTGCCCGGGGAGGAGCCCAAGGGAAGGAATGGAGGAAGGAAGGAAGAACAAATTGGAGATATGAGCCATTTTGCGACGTTCTGGCTCCCCTGGGTTACTGCAAGCAGCCGTGGGGGGAGGACCAACCCTTACGCTAGGACTTTCCTGCTGGCTGCTCCAGAGACTCTGCGGTCCTGTTACTTTGGGTGCCCCCTGAGGCACCTCAACCCGGGTAGAATAAGGAAGTGAGCATTCCATTGTGGCATTGATTACCTGCCTTGACTATTACCTGCCTTAACTTTGAATTATTTTTACAAGTAGTCCATACTTACCGATTTAGCTCTCAGATGATTTTGGAACAGCAAAGCCCATCATGGTTGAAAGCGGGAATCTCCAACCTTGGCAACTTTAAGACGTGTGGACTTCAACTCCCAGAACTCGGAATTCTGGGAGTTGAAGTCCACAAGTCTTTAAGGTTGCCAAGGCTGGCGAGCCCTGGCTTAAAGGGCCCTAATAGGGGAGCCAACGCAACATTTCCAGATCACCCTCCCCCTCCTCCTCTTCCCCCATCCTCCTGGCCAGCTCCCACCTAGCTTGGAGGAACAGGAATCCCGCATCTGGGACCCCTTGGAACCCCCAGCCACCCTCTACACCCCAGTTACCCAGTAACGCTGCCGCCTGGCTCCGCCCTCCAAAGCTGCGGCTGAAGGAGCTGTGCCTGCTGGCGTAGGAGGCCGGGCGGCTGGGCAGCCACGGCAGGAGGAAGGCCGGGATGTCAGAATGAAGGAGCTCCTCTGCCACAAAAGCCACCTCAAACCACTTCCGCTGGAAGGCGGAGAACTCGTCTTTGGCTGCCGTGTGCCACAGGGCCGGCTGCTGAATGCCCCCTGCGAAAGAAGAGGGGAAGAGAAGCTCCGTTCGGGCGGCCGACGCTACCTGGGGCCTGGGGAAGGTTCCCCTGCCCGGCCCACAGGAGATGGGGAGGACCCCTCTCCCTGCTCAGGAGTCGGTCTCGGCTACCATCTCCAGCAGAGCGAATCGGGGGAAGTCACGTGGGCGGACATGTGGCCTCTTCTTGCCCCTTGGGCAGACGAATGCCCAAGAGGGCGGAGCGGGGCCAGTGGTGGGATTCAGCCGGTGTAACAACCGATTCGGGGAGCGGGCGAAGCATTGGAACTCCGCCCATTGTCAGCTCTAAAGCTTCTACCACAGCCCTGGTGAGCACAGCAGCTGATCTGCTGTGCCACGCGATTCAGCTGAGCTGCAAAACAGGGAAATATAGGACAGACTGCGGCGGGGGATGGTGGTGGTCAGGGCCAGAGCCACCGGTTTGCCCAAACTGGGGCCAACCAGTACCAGCCCACCCCTGGGCAGGGGCTGCGTGTGTGTCTCTCGAGGTGAGAGCCATCTGTCCCCCTCCCCAACCCGGGAGCTCCTGGGGCTCCTTCAGAGCAGGAGAGGGCGAGGGCAGGAGGAGGGGCCGCGATCAATGCAACGCGTGGCTTTTCCTCTCCGAAACGCAGTGTGATACAAGGGAAGAGTTTTCATTCCTTTCCCTCAGCCGACGCAAAAGGGGCCTGCGGAAAAGGAAGGAAAAACTAGCCAGCCAAGGGGGGAGGCTGCCAAGGGGACACAGGTGGCCCCAAAACCACCCGGAACCTGACCTCGCTCTTGCTCCTTGTCGTCCACTATCTTGTAGAAATAAAACCCATAAATGAAGGTGCGGAGTGCCTCCCCGGAAGCGTGGGTTATCAGCTGCTCCTCCAGCATTTTCTAGAGCGTGTCAGAGGGAGAGAAGGTGAAAGGAAGATGCGCTTCAGCCGGGAGCCATGCAGGCAGAGGAGGAGGAGGGGAATCCTGGTCCACAGCCAGGAGTTCTGCTGCCCTCAGAAACAGCCCATCTCACTTTAGACTACAGGGAGAAGCGTCTGGAATCCCCAAGGGAGGAAACAGACCCTGTTGCAAGAGGCTGAGGTTTATCTAACAGTCCCCGGATCCTGCCGGAAAGCCATCCTCCCTCCCTGCCTCCCTCCCCACTGGGCGTCGCCTCCTGAAGCGATGCCCAGCCTTCCTCAGGGCAGAAGGGAGGAATTCCACCCCAGGCGGCGAAGAGCTCCTCACCTGCATGAGGTCGACGGCCATGGCCTGCGTCTGTACCCCTTCCACCATGTTCACCAGCCAGTGCACGACTTCTGCACTGATGAAGCACGATGGGGAGAGGCCCTTCTGCTCAGACAGCAGCTGGATCCCTGTGCTGAGAGCCAAGCAAGGCCCAGGTGAGGGGCATCTTCTCCCCTGTCCCCCACCTCCGCCCGTTGCCCCCCCCCCCCCAGCCCCTGCGCTGGCCTTGAGATCCTGCCAGGAGAGAAATGACCGGACGCCACTTGCCACCCGCTCTTCCAGACAAGGGTTGCCAAGAGGCAAGGGGAGCTGAAGAAACCTACGTGGGATGCTTCATTGCTTCAAGGATTTCCAACAAAGTAGATGAAGATGTCAGGGAACTGGCGGAGGGTGGCTGGGAGCTGCAGAAAGTGGAAGAAAACACACCCTCGGCTGGGAATAGCAATATTAGACTAAGATACTGCTTTATAGTGTTTTCACAGCCCCCTCTAAGCGGTTTACAGAATCGGCCTCTTGCCCCCAACAATCTGGGTCCTCATTTTACTCCCCCTCGGAAGGAGGGAAGGCTGAATCGACCTTGAGCCTGGTGGGATTCAATCTGCCAAATTGCAGGCAACCAGCAGTCAGCAGAAGTAGCCTACAGTTCTGCACTCCAACCACTGCGCCACTGAGGCTCAAGGGAAAGTGGCTGCAGGGCAAAGTCACAAAGGCAGGGCATGTCGGCTTAAGGACCGATCTCCTACTCCAGTTCACATGACTCTTCCTTGATTATTACTTCAACTTCAGCGAAAGCCCCACCTGGTCCTTCTTACCTGTTTTCCACAGGACCAGAGGTGGCCGAGATCTGGTCCCCTCCGTGGAGAGAGCTGGCTTGAACACTGCTACGGTCTACAGGCTGGGCGGTGTTGACAGCAGCGCCGCCTTCCAGGATTCCTGGGACAGACTGATCGACAGAGACCTGGGGGAAGGGAAGCGGGGGCCGCCATGGAGGTCATCAGCCTGAAAACACCTGAAAAATCCCTGCAGGTGCACAGAGGCACTTTGAGCTGGCCCTGTGTAAGAGTTGGGAGTTTCGGGAGCATCACAATGCCTCAATAATGAAAACATCCATCCTGGTGCTGAAAATGAGAATTGGTGGGATGCTCGGAACTAGCTAAGACAGGTAACATAATAATCCAGGTGGCCTGGAATTTCCTTCCCACGCTCAGATCAGGAGCACAAACAGCCCTGCCGTTGGTTCAAGCTTCTTCTGGTGTTTCCAGAGGAGCTGACTGGGGACCAAGGACTGGACGGTCAGAGAGAGCGAGAGACTGTCCTGAAGGACGTAGACTGCAAGGGGCAGGAGGGACCCTTCCAACTCACTGCAAGCAGCCTACCAGGGTGTCAGCTTTGGAAGCCCTATTCCACGCTGCCACATAGCCTGAGAAAGTGGGACGGGGGTGGTTTCAACTGACTAGCTCTTAGTAGACAAAATAAAATTCTTTTCTTAGTTGTGGTGCAGCAGAGAAAAAGGGATGGGATGGATAGTGATTGGTCCATGCGGTGTGATGATGGGAAAAAAGGGGGGATGGACTGTAGTTTGGGACATTGTGGGAAGTCCGGTGAAACTTTTAGTTTCGAGATTCCACAGATGTGCCAGGTGCTATTCTACTAATAAAGGTACTTTTGAGGTTATGCATGTCTCGGAGTTACTGATGGGACTTGGAGGCTTGCTGGAACGCTGACACAGGGAGGCCCAGGGAGAGCAACTCCTTCAAGATGCAGACGGTCACGTAGGAGATGGATGGACTTGGGTCAAAGGCCAATTCAACAGAAAGTGTTCTTGCATAAACTCCTCTGGCGTGAAAAAGTGCAGGACTGTTCTCTCCACCACAGGTTCAAGAGCATCTACCTGCTCGCCTTCCGTGATTTACCTGGGACAGGACCTCGCAGCGTGTTCTCTGCTATGCCACTGAGGCCTCGTGTGCCAAATGTGCTTCCGGGTCATTCCTGTGATCACCCGGAATGTAATACAAATGTAACAAAATCCAAAACGTAAATAAATGTCCTTTAATGCCACCAACTTGGCCCCACTGTTCAAATAATTCTCAGTTGGAGATAAAACTTATTCAAAAATAGTCTTCAAAAGAAAGCAATACAGCCCGAACTTAGTGAGCAGATAGAAGTGAAATAAAAACCCAAAATATAACTACAATGAAGGAAATTCCACAACGGACCAGGATAAGTAATTACCAACTTCAAGGAGATAACAAGGCACAGTCTGTTGGAAGGACGCCAACTAAGATAACTTCAGCCCAAAATAAAACACACTTTGCTTCTAGCAACTTGTGTTGTAACCGTCTCTCTTATATACTATTCTCCCCAGCTGCAACCAATGAGGGGGATCATGGCCGCTTCCTCTCTCGTAAGCCAAGTTGTTTCCTTCTCCATTCCTCCCTGCGTGCCCCAGGATGAAGAGGGGATGGGCCTCTGACTGCCCAGCCGATCTCTGCCCTTCCCCAGCCTCCTCCACACCTCCACTCCCTGTCGGCTGTTCCTCCTCTCCCTCGGAGTCCGACTCTAACAAGGGCATGACATCCTGTTCCCAGTTCATTAAGGGAATGAGAGGGTGGGAGGGCGCCTCAACTTATTCTGAAAATGGCCTCTGGATGGGGACCATTCTCTTTGGGTTTCAAGAACTACATCAAAGGCCATGAAATGATTTTAGCCTGAGAAATGGATAGTCTTGCAGCCCTGACAGCAACTCCATCCAAAGAACAAAATCTTCTAGAACCATCAGGCCTCAGAAAGGCCAACTTCCATTTGCCCTAAAGCAACATCTGGAGGAAAAGCCCATGAGAAAACAGCCACCCATCGATGGTAACATCTCCAACTGCCAATTCTGTGCTAAGAAAAAGAAGATTCTTTCCAGCATCTATGAATTAATACTGAGGAATCTTTACCTCTTTTACTGGAAATGGTTAATTCCTTTGCCAGTTCCTAAATCTTCCACAAACTCTTGACTTGTCCTGGTTTAGTTAGAAGCAATCCCAATTTATGTCAGGGAGAAACTGCTCCAAGTACAACTTACTTTCTTGCCCATAAAAGAAATCTTAGGTAAGGTTCCCTTCGCACCTCCGTGCTCGTCCTTTCTGGCTCTAGGGGCAGTGCTCATTTCTGTTACAAAGCTGAAGAGCCAGCACTGTCCCAACACGTCTCCGTGGTCAGGTGGCCGGCATGACTAAATGCTGAAGATGCACGGAGCACTGTAACCTTCCCACCAAAGGGGTCCCTATTTTCCTAGTTGCATTTTTGTGTTTTCAAAATGATAGGTGACGATGGGTTGTAGCGAGAAAATGGAGGCTGTTATGCGTAAGCTCCTTTAATGGGGAATCCAGGTCTTTCAAACATCAAGCCCACCATACATGTAGTTGCCCAGAACTTGTAAACCATCGCCGTTCCTTGGCACTAACTAGGCAGGATGCTGAAGGCCGAGCGGGGTCCAGCTCCCATAGACTTTTCTCCTGTCTCTACAGGGAAAAGGGCCAAGAGCTTTTGGGTTAGTTGCTTTCTAAGGAAAACCGGACAGTCCAAGAACGGAAAAGGCACCAAAAAGGGGCGGGCAAAAAAGCATTTTTCTCTTCAACCAAACCACATCCTGGTAACTCATGCTGACTCTGTCATGGTATGTGGGAAAGAAGGCCTTGAAAAACAGGGTGAGGGAACAATCAGACAAGAGAGGAAACAGCCCTCAGCTGCACAATGGGTGGAGAAAGGGACCGCCCAAAGTTTCTGGCTGATATTGAGAGATTCGTTCTTTCAGGCTTGCAAGATTCTGTGAACGTAGCTTTACAATAAAGTAGAAGTGGTTCCTCTGGTCGTGTTTCTTGTTGGTCTTCCTGGAAAGGCCGACGGACTCAGCCTTCCCCAGGGAGGAATGTGGGCTCCGAGTACATTGTGTAGCATTGGCACAAAGAGCGCTCGACCTGCCAAAACTGACCTGTGTGTGGAAGAGAGGCGCTGCGCGGGGGCTTCGAACGAACTCCATAAAGAAGGTCCCATCCTGAAGAACCGGGAAACAGCAAAGGCAGCAACAGAAACAAGGGGGGGGCAGGGGGAGAGAGACACGTTGTGCAGATCTGTCACTCCAAGTGGAAGGGTAACAGGGCACGAAAACCGCAGCAGGCGGGCGTGGCAGCGCACGAGGTGAAAGGAGGAAGCATGCAGAGCATGCACGAAGGAGAGACAGGGTTTCTGCTCCCACCCAGGCTGCCCTGAAAAGCCGGATCAGATGTGGCGTCTTCCGCATTTTGCATCCGTTCGGGTTGCACTGATGCTCGGGGCTCCTGTGGCTGAAACACGGAAGCAGCAGGCCCAGAGAAAGGCAGGCAATCTCTTTCAGGCGACCATTGGCTTGCATTTAGTTATTTCTTGGTTTAAAACTTTTATACAGTTGCCCATCTTTTAGCCAATTCTGGGCAGCTTCCAATCAAAGATTTAAAATCTATAAAGTGATTGTCTATGTTTTTACCCCAGATTAATGCCGATCACATCTGTCAGCGTGGCAGATTATTGGCTATTCCTTCCACATGCCAATGCGACCCCCAAAACGGTCCTCATACCCCAGAGACCCCAGAGCAACTACCCACAGCAGTGGAAAAGACCTGCACAAAGGCAGAGGGTGTTAAGAGTCACTGGGTTAAAATTAGGCTGCCTTTGGACTTTATAGGAACGGTCAACATTCGAACAACAACGGAAATGGATGCTCAACTAGGAGAACTTCTGATTGAACTCAACAAAATGCATTGGGGCATCGTTGGATTGTGTGAAATACGACAAAAAGATGACAACTGAGTTTAATTTGATAGGTCTAGGCATTTACTCTACACTAGAAATACTGAAGATGGACGATGTGGCGGAGTTGGTTTTCTTACCAACCAAAAGCTGAAAGACTCTGAAAGTAAAATTTGGAAGTCTATCAGACAGGGTAGCTCAATGCATCATTCCACTGAATGAACAATACAGGCTTCAAATCATCCAAGATTATGCGCCAACAATCAACATATGAAAAAACAATGGTGACAATTTGCCTTAATGATCTTAAAGTGGAAATGGACATGGAATGGGGTATACGACAAAGCAATACAATATCTATCACCTATCATTTTCTCAGCCTGCCTTGAAGAAGAGTTTCGCAAGGTTGATTGGGCAAAAGATGGAATAAAAAAATCAATGGCGGCTATTTAAATCACGTAAGATTTGCAGATGAAGTTGTCCTCTTCTCACAAGACCCAGAAGAGCCACAAAGACACATACGAGAGCTGGGAGAACCATTGAGCTGAAAAATAAAACCTGACAAAGAGCCAGGTTATGTTTAATAAATTCATCAAAGAAAGAAAAGAAATTATATCTGGAGAAGAACTAGACGTAGTAGACCGCTACATATACCTTGGTCAACAGATCTCAATGGAAAGTGACACAATAAAGGAAATTGAACAGCGTGTTAAATGTGATTGGCAGGCATTCGGCAAACTAAACATAATTTTCAAGAACTACCTCCTTCTCTCTAGGCCTGAAAAGTTTTCGATCTGCGTGTGCTCCCTGCTCTAACATATACTGGTGAAACATGGACACTAACCTCACAATCGATGCAAAAGCTACACGTGGCGCAAAGAGCCATGGAAAGATCCACGCTCGGCATTACAAAACAGGACAGAAAGACCTGCACACGGATTAGAGAACAAACGAAAGTACACGGGATCATCAAGAGAGTCAAAGAATTGAAATGGGAACAGGCTGGTCGCATAGCAAAAAGGAACTGGGGGCAGGTGGACCAAGGCAGTCCTGGGATGGATCCCACTTGATCCAAAGTGTCCACGAAAGAGACCTAAAACAAGATGGATCGAGGACATCAGCAAGTATGGTGGCCCCAACTGGCAAAGGAAGACTCAGGACCGTATTGGTTGGAGACATGCGGAAGAGACCTTCGTCCTGCAGTGGGTAGACGATGGCTAGGATGATGATGGTTCAGGAATTCAAATTAAGCCATCTCTGGGAGATGAGGGTCCAAGGGGGATGACAAGCTGAAGGTCAAGCCTGTGTCAGAGAAGAAACGGAAGTGCTGGCCCTGCCACACCATTCAAAGTCCAACTTCTTGAAACGCCCTCTGGCTCTGACTGTCTCAGGGAAGCAGGAACCTCTCCAGGGTTTCACTTAGTGCCCAAGAGAGTTTCGCTGAATGACTGTGACCTTCAAAGCAGGTGGAAAAGCAGATGTTTTGCAGAAGGCAGCCTGCAGCTGGCCAGCCATGGTACATTTCAAGCACTGGAAGTCAGCCTGGAGGTTGCAGTGGCCTGGCTGAGCCAGCATTCACCCCAAGCCTAAACCCAACCAGGAGGGACCGGAATACCAGGGTTGCATTTTGAAGTGCCAAAGGGAGGCATTACTAGGACAAGCATCTCGCAACTGGGCCTAAGCACCCGCCGGTGATCCAAAACGATCAAAACAGGCGTGCAATGCAAGAGCTGCCCTGTGGGTCAAGCATTTCAACACTCACACACACCTCATTTTCACCTTCGAAGAAGGCAAGGACCTCAGCTCAACACTGTCCCAGAAGACCCCCCGCCAAAAAACGAAAGACTTGCTAACTGTGAAGCTCAGTGTTTCTCACCTTAAGATGGGTGGACTTTTAACGCCAAGAATTCTCCAGCCAGCATACGACCTCTTTCACACATACCTTGTTCCACCTGGTCTGGTGTCAAGACTCATCCCTTATTTCACATTGGTGACCCTGTCAGCGGTTAACGGAGAGCGCATGCAAGCCACATGCACGGAGCCCTATGCAGGAGCGTGTCACTGTGTTGAAGCTTCTGCCCTCACCTTCCGTGGACTGTCCATGTAGGTGGGGGTCATGGCGATGCTGCCAGTCTCTGCTGGCTGGATAGAGGTCTTCCCAGCAAGTACTGCGGCTTGTTGTTCCCCTAATATCCTAGGAACAAGAGAAAGAGGGCTCCATGAAAAATCTCTTGGTCTTGGGAGAAGAAAACGCCCCACCTCCATGCCAGGACGACCATGCCAGCTCCTGTCATGCCCCTGTCAGAATCGGATTCCGAGGGGGAGGCTAAACAGCTGACAGGGAGTGGGAGTGTGGCTCTGTTGGCTGGGGAAGGGCACAGTCCGGCTGGGCAGAGCAGGGGAGAAGTAGAGCAAGGCAGAGGGAATTCAGAGGAAGTCCCGGGCCCACCCCCTCTTCATCCTAGGGCATGCAGGAAGGAAAGGAGAAGGGAGCAATGTGAGTTGCGTGGCTTAAGGGGGAGGAAAGGGCCCTGATTCCCTTCACTAGCTGCAGCTGGGAACACAGGGTTTAAAAAGGGAGTTTGTGCACAGCAACTTGTTGGAAGCAAATCGTGAGTTATCTTTTATTGTCGAGGCTTAGCTGGGTTCCTGGCGTCTTCCCAACTGTGTGTGTTTTGCTGAGCTTTCAAGTCTGCAATTCCTTCTCCTGCCCTGTCCAGTTCATTACTACAGTCTGTAGTTGTGTGGATGGTTATTTACAGTTTATATGTATCTTGTTTTTGGACTGAATTTCCTCCATGTAAAGACTGTTCTTGGGAGAGTTTTTCTTCAGCTGAAGGTAACTGGACATTGGGGGCAAAGTTGGAGGTATTAAAGGGACTTTTCTTGCTTATCTGTGTTGCCTCTGTGCCATGCCCCTTTGGGTCATCACAGCTTCTATCGGAGGTTTTGATACTAGGCAAGGAACCCACAGAGATGCACACACTGGACTGCCCACTTACGGGGGCGCCAATGGGGAAGCATCACACTGCAAGTGGTTGATAGATTAATACAGACCCCGCCTCCCCCCTCCCCATTTCTCACTCCCTCTCTGTGCTTTTGTTATAGCCGATAATCTGTTTTTATACTGTTTTATTTTTATTGTACAGGTAGTCCTCGACTTACAACAGTTTATTTAGTGACCATTCTAAATTACAACAGCACTGAAAAAAGGGACTTATTATGACCATTTTTCACATTTATGATCCTCGCGGTATCCCCATGGTCTTATATTTGGATGCTTGACAACTGGTTCATATTTATGACAGGTGCCCCAGGGTACGTGACTAATTTTTTTGTGAACTTTTTGATAAGCAAAGTCAATGAGGAAGCCAGATTCACTTAACAATCATGCTACTAATACGGTAGTAACTGTTGTAAAATGGGGCAAATCTCACACATTTCTCACTTGGCAACATAAATTCTGGACTCAATTTGATTGTAAGTTGAGGACTATCTGAATAAATATTTTGCACTGTTTTATTCTTTTTAACATTGTAAGCCACACTCAGTCTTTTTGTGGTAAGATGGTGGCAAACAAAATCAATTCATTAAACAAACGAATGTCTCATACAAAATTGGACCCATTTGATTATTTCAAAAGTAAAAATGTGCATTTTAAGGGCGGTCACTTACGCCCTGGGTCACCTCTTGGTTGGATTACTGCAATGCGCTCTACCTGGGGTTACCCTTGAAATATTCAGAAGCTACAGCTGGCATAGAACTCAGCACCATGGACAGTTCTGGAGGCCTCTTGGGTGACACATGTAACACTGTGGTTGCAGGATAACAGATAACAGGTAATCAGAGTTGGAAGGGACCTTATAGGTCATCTAGTCCAATCCCCCGCCCAAGTGGGAGACCATTTCTGACTGATGGCAGTCCAATTTCTTCTTGAATGTCTCAAGTGATGGCGCTCCCACAACTTCTGAAGGCAATTTCTGTTCCATTGCTTGATTGTTCTCAATGTCAGAAAAATTCTCCTTATTTCCAGGTTAAATCTCTCCTTGATCAGTTCCCACCTATTATTCCTTGTCTGGCCTACAGGTGCTTTAGAAAATAGATTGACTCCTTCCTGTCTGTGGCAGCCCCTCAAATATTGGAAGGCTGCTCTCCTGTCTCCCCTGGTCCTTCTCTTCCCTAGACTAGCCAGGCCCAGTTCCTGCAACCGTTCTTCCTATGCCTTAATCTCCAGTCCCCTAATCATCCCTTTGCTCTTCTCTGCGCTTTTTCTAGTGCCGGAGCTGCACTGGTTGCCAATTCGTTTCTGGATTCCCTTCAAGGTGTTGGTCACTATTCTTAATTCTGGGAGTTATCAGCTGACTCAGGAATTCTGGGAGTTAAAGTCCACAGGCTGAAAAGGGGCCATAATTGCCCACACTTTGATGATCTCAAAGACTCTGTGGATCCTGGCTATCTGTGATCCAGATGTCAGCTTCGAACCGAACCTGGCAGCAGCCACCTTTCTGTTCCTCAATTGCCACACAGAATGGGAAGGAGGTTGGAATGCCTTGCTAGACACAAGAGAGACAGCTTTCTCACGAGAACCAAGGCCTTCTCTACTGGCAACGGATTAAGGCTGGGGAAGGAGTGTCTGGAGAGCCCGTCAACGAACCCAATTGGCCAACGTGACCTGTGACACTTGGGGTTGGGGTTATTCCCTATTTTAAGTACACTGAAACCGTGGGATTTGGAGTTGGTTTTCCTTTGAAGCTGTGCCGATGGGATGTACCCAATGAAGAAGAATGTTGAGAAGGATCCTAGCCTCAGAGTTCTGATTTGCTTGGGTTTGTTAGTCGGAGCCTTGACGCCAAATTTGACTGGTGGGGTACCGAGGCATGAAAAGGGTGGAAGACTCCAGAGAGGGTTATCAAGCGTGCGCACATGAAGTAGATCCTATGCACTCAAAAGGTTCTTCCAAAGAGATCCAAGTCATCGATCAGCGGAACCACTTCAGTGCCACAGGTATGAAGCATGCAGGTTCCTAAACTGAGAAACTGGGATGGGTGGATGTACATATGGAGAGAGTGGCACAATTCCATGCAGGTGTGCTTCTCCAGGAACTCACCTTTGGCTGGCCTCCATCTCTAAGAGAGCCGAGAGCGCGGAGGTCCCCTTCTTGGCCAGCGGAGGTGGCCCTGGAGGTTCCAGAGAGGGGGCAGGAAGGGGGCTGGTGATCTGCAGGCCCTTCACTGCAGGCCCTTTCTGGACAGGAGGAAGACAGCGAAGAGTCAGCGAGAGGAGGGGAAGAGAAGAGATGCTCATGGGGACCTGGGGGAGGAGGTGGGGGTGTCAGTTTTAGGACAGCTGTGAATTTTTGCAAAGGATTCTGGGAACCGGAGTTATAGGAAAGCTACAGGTGTCAATTCACAAGGCATTCCTGACCTGCTCTCCAGTTGACGTAGGCAAAGGGGATTGGGAATTGAACCTCACAGCTGCATCGTGAACTTGCATTTCAGTCAAAACAAAGCACATTCCAGCCAGCAACTTCAAGGTCATTTCCAAGGAGACCCACCGTGGCCGGAGGGACTTCTACAACCCGCAAAATTGCTTCGTTGGGGAAGGTGACTGATGACACATCTTGGGGAGAGGGGGAAACAGGGTCAGAGCTAAAGTGCAGATTAAGTGAGGTCAGAGTTGGCTTCATTTGGTCTGTGCCGACATGAAGCTCCTAATAAATGACTGGATATCTTTTGAAGCTTGGCCTGAGGCTCATGATTTAAATAGGGCATCGTCGGAACCCTGACAAAAGGAGCTTTCTGCCTTTTATCTATGAGGAACAACAGCTCCCGAGAGAATTTGTTGTATCACTTTCTTGAAAGCAGAGATGAAGGCATTGCATAACCTTCCAATGCTGGTCATCTGAATTGGACATTTTTTAAATTGTATTTTAGCATGTTGTAAGCTGATGGGACACGGGAAGATTCAGCCGGAAACAAACCTGATAGGTAAATAAAGTCTTACTTTGTTCATATGGGGATATTTTCACCCTCCTTTTTTTAAAAAAAAAATACCCTCCATTGGTCAGGAGGCTGAGACGCTCTTGTGCTCCTCCTACAAGGGAGTAACAGCCGGGTTCTGTTCCGCAACCAGAGGTCGGGTGGGGAAGCCCCTTGAAGCTTCCGGATTGGGTGTCCCGACTTACCCGGATGATCCGGTCCGAACGGTGCCGCCTGCGGATGCGGTTCAGCCCTTCCACGAAGCGAATGAAGCCGTCCAAGAGCTGCCACTCCTCTTCGTCGGAGCGAGCCTTGCCGCCATAGATATCACAGTGGGCTTCGCCTTCCATGATGCGCTTGGTGGTGCTGATGCAGGCCGGCAAGAGCAGGAAACGCGTCCGCCAGAATTTGAGCGACTCAATCAGGCTGTGTGGAGAGAAAGCGGCAGCCGAGGAGGCAGAGATCAAGCCAGTGTTTCCTCCATGGGGCTTTCACAAGCTGTCATCAGACACTGACTTTCCCCTCCTCTCTCTCTGTCTCTCTCTCTGTGTCTCTGTCTCTCTCCCCTCTCCCTTCCTCTGTCTGTCTGTCTGTCTGTCTTTCTCTCTTACAAATACATCCCTGCAACCTTCAGTTTAACCATTAAAAGCTGGAAGAAAGGGAGGAACGGACTTTCTTGCAGACATTTCATTACCCAAACTAATTAACACCATCAGTGCTAGCACTAGCTCTGACCACTAGCACTAACTAGCTAGCATCCCTAGCACTGATGATGTTATCTAGTTTGGGTAATGAAACGTCTGCAAGAAAACACCCAAGTTCAGAGAGCGACCAGGACGCCTCATTTCAACCCAATATTCTCTTTTATTGGTACCCTTATTGCCATCCCTTGCACTGCACGGGTTCTTCCCTGATTTGGAGATGGCACTTCCCCGTGTCAGAATCCGGGGGATCGATCCTTGAAACAGAGCCCTTTTCCCTCTAGCTGAGCGTACGGGACCCTTTGAATTTGGGTTCATGGAGAATGCACATTGCTGATGCAGCTGTGATTATTATGAATTCCAAATTCTCTGTGAAACGCAAGAAAGATAAGCAAAAAACGTATTTCTCCCTAACATTCTGTAATAGACCGTATGGATGACCTTGGGGGATGAGGGGAAAAGAAGCTGCCCACGAAGCAACCAGGCAAGAGAGCCAGGAGCCTCAGTGGCTTCACAAACAGAGGAAGAAACTTAAAAAAGGACTTGCGTGAAGGGATCAAGTTGTTAGAAGTGGCTTGTACCTTCAGAGTTGCACGTTTCAGTCAACGAGCCTTACAATAAACCAGAATTAGCTCACCTAGGCTGGCCGTCCTGCCTTTGGGACTCCTCACAAGGGCATCCTTTTAAAGGACCAGGTGCTCACTTAGCACCTATTTATAAAGAGTTGGGAGGACCAAGGCCCTCAGCTTACCTGAAATCTTCCGAACCAGCCGAACAGATGTACTGATCCAGATAATTCCACTTATATTCCTCTAACCTCTCGTGGGAGAACTGCACCCAGCAAGAGACAAACTCTGAGTTTGAGTGGGAAGGACACAGACTGTAAGTGTAGTTGATCTGGGCAGATTCATACGGGTACCTAAAAGGAACAAAAATATCCAAGCAAGCCTTTTCAAGTCAGAGGCCACGGGGGAAGGTCTTTTCTTTGAACGTGACGGTGGTTGGGGAATGACTCTCGCCTCCTCCCGGCCTTCCTACTCTCAGGCACAAGGCAGTGAAACCTGATGACCCTAGGAACGGCCTGCTGATTTCCCTGGGGAATATAAAGCCGCCGAGTGAGCGTGGCTGCCGGATGTGTAGCCTGTGTTAGGGCGAAGCAAAGGGCTTTGACAGGCTTTCAGGATTCTTTTCCAATGCTCTAAAGCAGGAGTCTCCAACTTGAGACTTGTGGACTTCAATTCCCAGAATTCCTCAGTCAGCCATCCCTAAGTCCACAAGCCTTCAAACGGCCAAGAATGGAGGCCCTGCCCTAAGGGACCTTGCAAGACTTCCAGTGACCCCCATGTCCTGCTCCCAGAGTGGACACAGGAGCGGACACTCACTTGGGCAGGTACCGGGTGACCGTGATGATTTTGTCCTTCAGGGTCACTTTATGGAAGGTCCGGCCCATGCTCAGCCAGTACTGGTCATCCTCCTCGGGTCGATTGCGTGACACAAGACCTGGGCGGAGATGAAAAGACGAATTAGACGTGCAGATAATTTCCCCAGGAAATGTAAGCAGAGAAGGCATGGAAATCAGCCATCACATGGTTTCCCTGCGTTGCTTTGCAGCAGCCTGATTCTATCCAGAAAGATTTCCCCTCAAGGCAGAGACAGAGCGATGGAGCAAGTATGAGGAGCCAATGGGACACCCAGGGAAGAGAAAAGCTTACACTTTACTCGCGCACACCCTTTTACACATCTCACACGCTCTCCCAGCTTACACAAAGAGCTTCTCTTTTTTTTCCTATTCCTTTCTTATTTCTCCTGGACTGGCTGGTTTTCATCAACCTAGACATGGACAATTGCTATAACTTGGGAAGGGTCTCTCTATTCCTGAGTAGTTCGTGGTCAGGAAAATCTTATCCGCCGTTCTTTGATCTTCACCTGCCATCCCAGGGTGCCTTTTGCTTTTGAGAAGCTGTGAGCTCAGATGGCTGGATCTCATCCGACCAGGCACATCATACCCTTCACCAGGTCCACTGCGTATCACGCTCGCTCAGACAGGCCAACGGCTGGTTACCTTCCGCCTCTCCCTGGTCCAGGTGCCCTTGGCTGCCCCACACGTCCCAACATGGGGACTCACCTCTGCTGTAGAGGGGGCTGCTGCTAAGGGGAGGCTGGACCGCTGCTGGCTTCTGGGGCTTGCTCTGCACAATGAGTTGGTAGCCCTGCATGAGGCGCTGGCAGATGAATTCCTCAAAGACCTGCTGGGCGGTCATCAGCAGGCCTTCCTCGTCCCTCCTGGGGAAGAAAGCGGCGTGTGTGTGTGTGTGTGTCATCATAGGCAGGCAATACAACCCAGGGGACCCCCCCCCATCCATTACGCCCTCTTCCCCAGAGGAGGCCAGGAATAAGGGGCGCTGGGACCCCCAGAATCAGGCCCCAACAGTTTCAGCCCCAGGCCCTGCACTGCCCCCATCACCTCGGGGGAACCAAAAAGGGGGAAGAGATCCCAGAGGAGCCTCTACGGGTAGTCCTTGAATTATGATCGGTCACGGTGGGGATTTTGGCAGGAATTTGGCCTGGTTTCTGGCAAAAAAATGACTATTGCAGAAAATTGGGTTCATTTCACGACTGCGGTGTTTGCATAATGACCACTGTCAAAATATCCTAAAATGGTGCTGTGTCTCGACTTACAACCATCCTGACATAGATTCTCCTATGTCAATGGTTCTTTGGATGATGCCAGGCTGCTGTGAGCTTTATTCTTTATATTATGTATTTATCTATTTTATTTTCTCGCCCAGAGTCAGAAACGTGAGGCGGGTGGATCTATAATCGAATGAATGAATGAATCAAAGCTCCAGCTGCCGCCTCTGTTCCTCCTTCCGGGTGTCCTTAAGGCGGGCTGGTGCCACTCTTGGGGGTGCCCCTTGCTCTGGCATGGCTCCCTGGATGGCTGGAGGGTGCTACCCTCCACCCTTTCACTCGGCTCAAGTGCTCCCTCCTCCCCATGATTGGGTGCGCTGGCAAATCAGCTGGCCCTAAGATTGCTCCCCTTCTCCCCAGAAATATTGTCGAGTGGGAAGAACCTACTCAAGGGAAGTCATTTGGTACTCCAGACTGTTTTGTCAAGTGCCCCACGCGATGAGTGTGTGGCACCCCAAGAAGCAGCCCAAGGCCTGATCGCCCATAAGCCCAGCCAAGGGAGGAGGAGAAGGAAGAGGACGCCACAAGCGTCCGTCCGGGCCTGGGCACTGCAGAGGTGCCCTTGCTGGAATTGAAAGCTCCAAATTCAGAAACGCGAAAGCTACAACCGGGGAGGTCCCGGACAAGGGCAGGGTGAGGATAGGTTTAGGCAAGGGAGGGAGACTGGCCGGACAGGACTGAAATGAGCCCCTTGCCTGAATGAAGGCCCCAGGGAGCTCGGTCGGTGGCATGCAGCTTTTCTGAATGGCTGCGTCAAAAGACAGGCCCAGCCCGGCTCCTCTCTGTGGCTCATTCGGCCTGAGGGGGAGAAAAAGAGCCATCGCTTTCCTCGCAAGGACAAGCTGACCAGTGGCCCCTGGGGTCAGGCCAGAGCAGAGAGGACAACCCGAGGCGTTCCTCCTCCTAGCCAACGCTCGGTGGGGGCTCAGGCAACAGCCAGGCAGACGCACCTCTCCAGGTCCGCTTCAGGGAGGAGATCGTAGCAGCCCTCGGTGTAGTCGTTCCGCAGGCTCTGGCGGTCCGGGAAGTAATCCGTGGTCAGAGGAAGACAGGCTGGAGTGGTGAGAGACTTCCAGTCCACCCCAACAGTACAACAGAAGCCTGGCACTATGGGGGGAGCAGACAGCGTCAGAACTGTCTCGTGTTGTGTACGGAGGGTGAGGAGGAGGAGGAGGAGGAAGAGGAGAGACCAGGAGCCAGGAATGGTGGGAGGTGCCACAGAAGCCAGTGGAGAGAAACAGACACACAAGGGGTGAGAGACATGAAATCCAGAGGGGAGAGGGAGGGAGTGGGTGGGGTGGGGTGGGGTGGGGGAAGAAAGACAGAGTCGGTTAAACAGTGCAGTGAGCCCATGCCAGCTCATTCCCATCATGCAACTGGAAAGTTAATACGCTCCCCTCTTGCCCGCTGATTTGGAGTCCAAGCCAAACCAGCCGCTGCAGAATTAACGTCACTCTCAAGCACAACGGGGCGCACAAAAACACAGAGCAGCCCCAGGATTCGAAGCCCAATCCAGCGAATTAAATCAGGACTTCCTCTTGCGTCGGTGCAAGAGGAACCGGGGGGAGGGGCGGCGGGGGGGGGGGGG